GGAGGAGATCGTGGTGCCGCGGTGGACGCTCAAGCGTCACTTGCTCAGCGTGTGTGATGAGCTGCGTCCGCTCGACCGCGTCCGCGTGCTGGGCGGCCTCTCAGCAGGGCTCGTGGGGCGGGTGCGCGCCGTCGACCGGAGCGAAAACGACCCTGAGGTCACGATGTGGGTGGTGGACGGGGGGGAGAGGGAGATAAAGGTGACAATGTCGGAGGTGCGGCGCGAATTCATGCGAGGGGATTTGGTGCAAGTCGTCGCGGGGCCGTCGATGGGGAAGCGCGGAATCATCGTTGGGCGCGCGGAGGCGGGCGCGCTGGAAATCTATACGGTACGAAAGAGAGTCTGTCATCGTGGCGATCGCTGATGGTGCAAACGAGCAGGGTGTGACCGCGGAGGCAACACCAAGCGATGTGTCGACGGCGGAGCGGGGTACACAGGCGCAGACAAGGCGAACTCAAGTACTAAGAGGTGATCTGTCGAACGCGGATCTGGAGAGCGTGAAGGAGGGCAAGGCATCGGCGAGTGAAATAGAGGAGCTGCTGAAGACGACGTCGGGGACGGTGGCAGAGGGCGAGTTGGCGATGGCAGAAATCGAGGATATCGCGTTGAAGGCGATGGTAAGGCCCGTTCGTTCCTTGGCGGAAAATGTGAAGCTAAAAGAAGCAGGTGCGCGTGCTCCAAGATCACGTAGGATTCGAGCAAGGCGAGCAAAGGGTGGGTGGGTGGACGCTGCCCGCGAGCACTTCAAGTGAGTCCCGGGCAGAGGCGATGTGTGCGGCGGACAAGCGAAGACAGGAAAAAGAGAAAAAGGCGATGATGGGGGGTAAATTGTTCCGGGGCATTCAGGTGACGATTGTGTGGCCGCATGCGATGAAAGGGAGGAAGGGAACCATACTGGATAATCACTGGGCGAAGGGCGCGGGAGGTGTTATGACGCTGGTGTTGGCGGTGAGAATCGAGGCGACGAACAAGCTGGTGCAGGTGCCCGAGGAGCAGCTGCGTCATCGGTGGTAAGGAAACGATTGCCCGCTCCAGAGTTTGTGGTGCTGAAATTTTGACAAGGACTTACTTGAGGTTGCAAGAGGCGGCGTACGTGACTCCGTGGGCAGGACCGCTGCAGCTCGGGTTTCCCGACGACGAGGAGGAGTGGGAAAAGCGACGGACGCCAGAGTGGGAGCCGCCCCCAACGACGCCGGAGTGGGAGGGCGGAAGGACGCCGATGCCGGATGAGTGGAGGGTGAGTGGAGGGGAGGTGGCGACGGCAACGACAGTGACCAACGCTGTGGCGGCGGCTGTGGCGGCGGCTGCGGCGGCGCGCGCGGCGCGTGCGGCGGCGCCGATCGGCGAGGACGAGGGACGATGGTTGTGCATTCCGGGGCTGGCAGGTAAAAGGGTAGATGTCCGTGTTCGGCTCAAAACGGCGGGGAGCCGGGTGACTGACAGGCAAATATCTACCGCTGGGCAGTTGGGTTTCATCGAGTTGCGGGACTGCCCTACAGGAAAGTGCACTGAACAAGACGATGCCGGTGTGTCTAGGGCCGCTGGGAACGGCAAGGCGGATCGAGCCGCGATGGCTGATGCCGGTACGAACCACTCTCAACCCGCCGTGGAACAAAGTGGACGTGTCGATTGCCAAGGTGCAAGGGCGGGTGGTCATCATAGGCCCGGATGTGGACGGAAAAAGAGAGCATGCGGGGGACTACGCTGAGACGTGGCCGAACACACCGGATATGGGAAACACGGTGTGGGTCAGATTCGAGCGGGTGGAGGGGGCTAAGGTAGAATGGAGGAAATATCCTGTAGAGTCGTTGTGCCGGGCGTTGAACGAGGATGGTGCGTTCACGCACAAGTCGCGGTTCTAGATTTACGTCGTCTGCATAAGGAAATTGTAGTTCGGGTTTCCTCCGTGTCTTTAGAAATCAAAAATTGGGTTATGAAACAGCGTAAAAGGGCGGAGTAAGAATCCAAAAGGGGATAGCAACAGCAACGACAATAAACAAGAGTACACACTCCGCATTTGCATTTGCTAGCTCCTATATGCCAAAAGCGACGCGCAGTCGGCAAGGACGACGAGGGAGCAAGAGCAAGAAAGAGGAGGGCAAGGATAGGCCCGTGGAGCCCAAGGAGGAAAGGTGCGTACCGGTTTGCTTAATTGACCGGAATTAAAGGGGCTCTTAGGTCGAAGGGACGTTGGAGGTCAGAAGAATCCCTGAAGGAGCGGAGGGCGCGATACCTCAAGAAGGGGGGGGTGTATGAGAAGGGGCAAGAGAAACTGCAGCGGCACACTAGTGTGTTAAATCTGTATTTTTCGTCACCCACACTGACAGTCTTACCAGAAATCATCACACGGCCGGTGCCGTTTCCCGACCACTTTGCCGGGTGGAAGCGGGATGGGGAGATGGTTAGGGAAAAGGTGAAGGAGCTGTGGCCGACCGTGCCGGCAGAACTCCCCAACGCGAGCGACGACGACTCCATGACGCTGCTTATCGACTCGCAGGAACCGAGTGCTACGCAGCTGGAGGAGATGGGACCAGGGGGTGGTGGCGCTTGGCTGAGGAATAGGCTGCCCCCTGCCGCAGTCACGGCGCTCGAGGAAGATGGGGCGCCGAAGTATCTGGTCATGCGTTGGGCGGATGCTATCCCTGACGACACTCTCAAGATGCTGGTGCGCCTCTGGGACACGCTAAATAAGCTGGGGGTGCACTATCCCGACGCAGAGCTGCAGCGATCGGGCTCACCAGCTCTCCACTTCGGCCTTTGGGAGCTCTATATGAGCTTGGCGAAGATAACCACCGACTCGCGCCAGACGAAGCTCAAGAAGAGCGCTCCGAAGGAGGAGATCCTGGCGGCCATTGATGCGCTTTGCCGCACTGTGAAGGAACGGGTGGTGCCCAGGCTGGAGCGGTTGATGAGGCGCTATGTGCCAGAGCAGCAACGCGTGCAGAACCTGTAGGCCAGAAACGACACTACTTGGACAGGCCCCTCACTGACAAACTCATTTAGAATCCATTCACGGCTTGCGCACAGACGCGCCGCCGAACTCGGCGAGCGTCCGGACATGGACTTCGGCGTAACGTTCTTTACGATAGCCGTGAAAGAGGGCGGGAGCGAGATAATCCATATCGACTGGAACGACAACCTGCACAAGTTTGCGCTGATCTTTGCAGCTGGCGACTGGGAGGGCGGGGAGTTCTGCATCCCTCAGCTGGGCGTGCGGATTCCGTTGAGGCCTGGCCAGGTCATCGCGGTGAGGACACGGCTGCTTGCGCACTGCAGTGCGCCCATCTTGGGGCGGCGGATCGTGTTCACATGCTTCACCGACAGCACCCTGCTGGAGCACACTTTGTGCGACAAGGATTATACTGTGCTTTAAATAGATGTCCTGCTTGTATGCCCTCTGGAATTCTAACTATTCTTTTTTACATTGCTTTGGTGGCATAATTAATGACTGGAGGAAACACTTGAGAAAGGTGCTACGGTTTGTTGATTAGGGACCAACTTGAGTGTGAGAGAAAAAAAATAGTTTTAAAAAATAGTTAATACGGTGGTTATCACACCATAGATATTGTATATATGCAGTGCAAGCTGGGTGCTCGGGGTCCTGAAGCTCGCCGTGAGCGCGCATCGCTGCGCATCACTGGATGTGGGATGGCATCAGCGGGTGGTACGCGGATCAATAAGCTTATCGTGATCTGTTGCAATATGATCGTAGGATGTCGCTGCGATGTTGAAACACAGATTCGCATTTAGTCGGAGCCAGGAGCTTCCTCAGACATTCTGGCTGGACCTCGCAGAACATCATCTGCAATCACATGACAGCTCCTTTTCTTTTTCTTTTTTCTTTTGTTTCTCTTTTCTTTTTTCTGGCTGGGGGCGCAAAATAGATTTTAAAATGGGTATATTCACGGGCTGGTGCACTGTAACAAAAAGTATGCTACTGAAGAACAGAAGACACTGTAATAAAAAGAGAGAGGGCTTGGGGGCTTCAAGCTTGAAAGGAGGGCTTGGGGATGCTTCAAGTTGCGGCATTGAAGGGAAGCCTTGGGGATGTCGGTGCTTGAAGAGTGTTTTGAAGGCTTGAGAGTACTTGAAGGCTTGAGAGTACTTGAAGGCTTGAGAGTGCTTGAAGGTTGAGCTTGAGCTTGAGCTCGAGGCTTGGCCTGAAGCTTGAAGCTTGAAGGCTTGAGTGTTCGACGGAGGTTTCCAAAACGGGGGCATTGGACGGGGGCGAAAAGAAAAGTGGACGTGGTGGGAAGGAAGAGCGACGTGGCAGTCAAGCAACCATCATCGTTGCATCATCGCGACGGGAGACAGCTTTGATGGGGAGGGATTTGCAGTGGACTTCAAGCGGACTTCGACGAAATTTCATGGAGACATTCTGGCAAGCCTTCATATTTGGAAATATCTGAATTAACTCTTTCCTTGGTTGGCAGGTTGTTGAGAAAATCAAATGGGAATCATTGATTTAATGGAACTGTATAGTAAGTCATGAGGGCAGGACATTTCAGGGTATTCTGAGGACATCCTCAGCACAAAGTCTCGCAAGCTTGGACGAAGGTTCGCTCGATGACATCTGTGTGATAACGGAAATCAATGACCTACCGATGCAGGCGACTGATGTCCGCCGGAGATCAAAATAAATTGGCGGTGTAGTAAGTGGCCAGAGCATTAAGCCGCACTGTCGATACTCTTTCCGCGGTAAATAAATAAAGCCAGCGGCTGCCGTATGCCCTAACCAGGGCTTTCACAGGGCACATTTGTTGCTCAACATACACCCAGCCTGCATGGGCGCGAACCGCTTCGCTTTAGGTCTTCTCTACACTGTATAGTCCAGTCTTGAACTTGAAGATTCTCGCCGCCTCAGAAATTAAATTAAATCCTTGAACAAAGATCGCTGTTGTGCGTTGGTGTTGGGTCTTTATACGGGAAGTAATAAACCGAGTTGTAAATATTGGTGCAGCCTTTCCCGGTAGAAAAAGGACTTACCGTCATTGGATATATGACCTAACCTGGAGTCGAACCAGGGCTTCCACCGATCACTCTCCTACAATACCCCAGGTTGCGTGGATGCGAAACCACTTCGCTTCAGGTCTTGATTAGGTTGTAGTGCATGCGTGGGTGAGTGCCAGAATTTATTTGACGGAGAACCGTTGAAAGAAATCCACTTGAGAACACCGAGGTTTGCGCTGGCGTTGTGGTTCAGACATGAAGGAATAAACTGGCTCGTCGACGTTGTCTGGTGCAGTTTTTCCCCGTCGAAGAAAATTAACCTGTCGATGCAATTTTCCTAGCTAGGCTTTTATTAGCTTGCAGTGGGTGCGTGGCCGAGTGAGGGATTATTCATTTGAGGCAGATGCGTTCAAATCCAGTTGAGACCACCGAGGTTTGTGCAGCCGTCTCAGACCGGGGAAGAAATAGAATGAATCGCCAAGTGAAAGCTCGTGTCGTCGACATTGTCTAGGGCGGTGTTTCCTGTGGAAAAAGTGAGGTGGACAGGATATATTATGACCTAACCTGGAGTTGAACCAGGACTTCCACAGAGCCCATCAAAGGATACAGATATCAGGTTCCGTAGACGCGAAACCCCTTCGCTTCAGGTCTTCATGGGCTGGTCATCCATGGGTGTGGAGGTGGGCGAGAGAATTTATTCGATACAGCGCGGTTGATTGTGGGAATCCGTTTCAGACCACCGAGGGTTGTGTCGGCGTTGGCGAACCGGAAGAATATTAGAACATCAGAGGAAGAGCTTGCATTGTTGATGTTCTGGTGCGGCCTTTCCTGGCAGAAGAAAAGAAAGACTGGCGTACCCGACTCGTATGACCTAAGCTGGAATCGAACCAGGGAATTCCACAGAGCAGCCTTTCGGAGGGTGGATCCAGGGTGCGTGGACGCGAAACCCCTTCGCTTCAGGCCATTATTAGCTTGCAGTGTGTCACTGTATGTGTGTCGCTGAGTGTGAGATAATTTATTCGACGCAGAGCATAATTCCAGGAATCCACATGAGGCCACCGAGGGTTGTGAGGAATTGCATGACTCGTCAACTTTGAAAGAACAAAACCCGGGTGCGCGATGTTGTCTGGCGCAGCCGTTCCGGTAAAAAAAGAGGAATTGAGACACACCTGATAACCTAACCCGGAGTCGAACCAGGGAATCCTACAAAGCATAGCGTTTCCGTCGGAACGGGCTGCGTGGACGCGAAACCGCGGCTTCGCTTTAGATCTTCATTAGCTTGCAGTGCGTGTGTCGCTGAGTGAGAGATAATCCATTCGACGCAGAGCATAATTCCAGGAATCCACTTGAGACCACCGAGTTTCGTGTTCGCGTCGGCCTTCAGGCACGGCGAGAAACTGCATGAATCGCCAGAGAGACAACTCCGGTTTCTGGTGCAGCCTTTCCCGGTAGAAGAAAACAAGATCGACTCCTATGGCCTGACCTGGAATCGAAGCCGGGAATCCCGCAAAGCATAGCTTCTCCGTCGGAACAGGCTGCGTGGACGCGAAACCGCTTCACTTTAGGTTATTATTAGCTTGCCGTGCGTGCGCGGGTGAGTGCGACAATTTATTCGAGGCACAGCAGTTGTCGGTTCAAAAAACCAGATTCATTTCCCCAGTGCTGGCTTTAAGGCTTCCTGAAGGGATGCAGGAGGGGATATTTTGTTACCTATGACGTCTGGTGCCTTTCGCCGTCGAAAAAAAAAAAAGAACTATGCTGGGAGGACATATGACCTAACGTGGATTCGAACCAGGACTTCCACAAAGCATCTCTGCTGCCAAGAACCAGCTTGCGTGGATGCCAGACCACTTCGCTTTAGGTCGTTATTAGCTCCCGGTGCGTCCATGGCTGAGTGAAAGAGGTTTTTGATGCAGAGCGGTGGATTCCCGAGATCCACCCAAGACCACCGAGTTCTGCGTCCGCTTCGAGGCTTCCTGAAGGGAGGATATATTGTTGTCGAATGGCATCTGTGGTCCCCGGTAGAAAAAAAAGAGCTGGGGTATAGAACTACGACCTAACCTGGAGTCGAACTAGGGATTCCACAAAGCACTGAGGTACGCATTTACGGTACGTAGATGCGAACCACTTCGCTTCAGGTCGTTGTTAGCTTGCCCTGTGTGTGCGGGTGCGGGTGAGTAGAAGAGTTATTTGAGTGGTCGTGATGCAGAGCAGCTGCAGTTGCGCTTGAAACTTGATTCCAGATTGAATCGATGCAAAAACGTTGATGTTATACATGTGTCCGGGGAGAGAAGGGAGCGCTAGCGTTCAATTGATGGTTACACACACTGCTTGAATGTGGCTTTGGTGGCCGGGCAAAACCAAAACCAAAAAACACGGAGCCGAGGCAGGACCTAACCTGGAGTCGAACCAGGGAATTCCACAAAGCACCGAGGTACGGATTTATGGTGCGTGGACGCGAACCACTTCGCTTTAGGTCGTTATAAGCTTGCACTGTGTGCGCGGGTGAGCGAGAGACAATTTATTCGAGTGGCCGTGATGCAGAGCACTTGAAACTTGATTCCAGATTGAATCGTTGAAGTCGGAGTGGGTATACACATGAGTGTGGGAATGAAGGAGAAAACGGAGGGCCAGCGTTCACTTGATGGTTAGACAGACTGCCTGGATGTCGGTTCGACTGCCGGGCAAACAAAAAAAAATCCTCGGCGGATAGCGACCATGACCTAACCTGGGGTCGAACCAGGGATTTCCACAGAGCAGCAGTGTACGCACCTACGGCGCGTGGATGCGGGCGTTCCGCTTTAGGTCGTTATTAGCTTGTGGTGTGCGTAGGGAAGTGAGAGGATTTAATTGAGTGAGAATTCGAAGTTGGAGTTCCAAGATTGAATCGATGCAAAACTGGTGCGAATTCGATGCCAGAAGCGGGCCCTAGCAAGCTAAATGTGATTTGATTTCTTGAACAAAGACCGTGAACATCCAGGTAGAAAGAGAGTCAGGAAAAGGAATATTTCGGCCGTCTCGGCTTTAGTGAGAAGCGGCGCCGGCAATCTGACTAAGCGGACGGTCCAGAGCTTGCATCAGACGGCGAGACGACGGTGGCAAGTTGGTGGCAAGACTCCAGAGGCAACGCAAGTGAAGGGGAACATTTGAACGTGGAAGACGGAGACAAAAAGCAGGATTGGTTAGCACAGCATCCGCGTCTGGAGGCGGAGTCCGGAGCGGAGTTTTATTTGCGTATGTCCGACGCGCAAAGGTATTCGCACAAAAATGCTCACCTGCTGGCACATAACTAGGCGGTAAATCGTAATCTATGGCCCCCGCCCCTGCGCCACCCTTCTGTGGCTGGATCGAAACCACGGGCGACGCGCTGCTCATCCTCGAAGCTGCGCGCCGCGGCCTTATCCCACGCGTCACCCGCCGTCTGGTCGACGCCGAACGGCGAATGATTGCGTCCGGCGCGGTGTTCGTGTTCGACGAGGCGGAGAGCGGGATTAAAAGGTGGACGGACGGGTGTTTTTGGAGTCCGAGTCGGATATTGGGGAATTTTTTGCTGTATCGGGAGACGGAGGGGCGGGGAAGGGGGCATGGGAGTGGGGGTGCGGGTGCAGCGGGTCGGAGGAGTGGCAGCGGGAATGGGAAGGGTGCGCGGGCCAGGGGAGGAAGGGGCGGACGGGGCGCGCGCAGGATGGACGACGAGAACACGGATGGCGACGAGGACGAGGAAGATGGCGAGCGCGAGGAATTCAGGCAACCCGCGCGCGAGAGTCTCAGTCGACCGCGGAACGACACCAAGCTCAAGACCTCCAGCGTCGACCGGTATCGCGAGCGCACCCTCGTCGGTAGTCTCACAGACGGGAATAAATTCAAGAGCGACGGGCTCATGAAGAAGGTTTGTCTGCATCCCCTTAGTGCCTTCGTGCGCGTCTCCCTTGTTCATTTTATATCGCAGACGTTCTCTGTGCACATCTCTGGCGTGGCGCAGCACCTCATCTCCTACTACAAGGTTCGTGTCTCTTCTCTTCTTCCGTGTATCTCACATTGAGTTCGACTATATGTAGGTCTCCGACGTCGAATCCGGCCGCCTGCGCGCGCCCTCGTCCCTCCCCGAGCTCGCGTCCCTGGACATCAACCCCACCCTGCTGCAGCATGGGAATTTTAGGTGTCCGCCCAAGACTGAGGTAGGTCTTGTGTGTCCTTCGCCTTGCACTTCTGCCTTCCTCTTCATTTCATTGCTTTATCTCGTGGCGTTTCATCGTTTCAGAGATACCGAGGTCCCATCCCTTCCATCTTGGGTGCGCATCTGGGTACAGAATGTACCCACTCTACGCGCCGAGCCCGAGGCCGTCCCTCCACCCTGAAGCTATCGGTGGACACCCCCGAATTGCTATCCTCTTCTTTTCCTTTGCGCTCAGGCCGTAGCCGCTGCCATGTCTGCTTTGCTTCCTCTTTCGTACTGCACTGCAGTGGCCCTGCGCTGGCCCGATCGACCGCGCGAGCGGCGATAATGATACTGTCGCATGACGGAGCCGAACACTCTGTTCCCGTGGCCATGTTCTTGGCTTGTCGCATCCTCCTGCACAGGACGGGGGCCCGCTCGTTCTCTGGCAGCTACCTTCGCGGCCTCGTCTTACCCGTCGCGTGCTGGCATCGACGGACTTGTGTCCCGCGGTGTGTCATCCCGCCGACAAACCCCCCTTCCGTGTTTTCTAGCGCGCTGGTACTCTGCTCCTGGTTTGTGTCTTTCCTTTTCTCAGACCAATGCTGTCTAGAATCGCATTTTCCGGGGGACGCAGCTATGGCGCCGCATGACCAGTGGCTGTCTGTCCGTCTGTGTCGATGGCTCGCACTGGGATTGATATGTGCGTGCCCGTGCAGCAGTGCTCGCGGACGGTATCCGCATTCTGGCTCCTTCCTGGGTAGACGCTTCTCGACTGTACTTTTTGCTTCTTTTTTTCACCTCCTCCGCGTGCTCGCGCAGCCGGTCTGGGTGCCGCGAAGGATTGGCTTGGGGACTCCCCCGAAAACCTCCCGCGCCAGGTCGACGCCGTACACGTATCCCTTGCTCCGGGCAGGGTGCTGCACCAACGATATTCATGATCAGCACGTCTGTGTGCGCCGCGGACCCTGGTTTCCCCTTTCTTC